GGCTAAAAACAAGACAATATCCCCAAAATGGGATTTTGAGTAATCAATGTCCTGATGTTTCCTTTTAAAAACTAAACCTTTCATACTTGTATGAAGTTATTTTAGGGGAAAGGCAAGGCTCTGTAGCATTCCTAGTACACTCTTGAATAAATGATTGGATTTGTTTATGAACATGGTACCATTTGCTACTGTGTGCTTTGACGATAGGTTTCTCTGTACTAGCCTGTTGCTGAATCCCTTAATTTATCACAGATGCTGTTTTAGTTTGGGTTGCTACAACAAAATACCATAGAATAGGTGGCTTAAATAATTTATTTCTCACAGTTCTGAAGACTGAAAAGTGCAAGATGACTGTGCGGGCAGATCTAGTGTCTGCTGAGGGTTTCCTTTCTGACTCTCTTTACATTCTCATAAGGGGGGAAAAGAACAAGTTGGGTCTCTGGCCTCTTCTTTTATAAAGGCAATAATGTTATTCATGAATGCTCTACCTCTTGAATTAATTGTCTCCGAAAGGTTCAAATACCATCACATTGGGGATTAAATTTCAACATATGAATTTTAACAGATTGGAGGATTCACAAGCTTTCAGTTCCTAATATATGTATCTTATTTTGCTAAGACAGTTTCTTATATATAGGTCCAGTACCTTTGAGAGAAATGGTAATTCAGCTTTTCTAGTATGAATAGTTTATGAGGTCATTAGATTATTAGTTACTTTGCCCCAAATACTTAGTTTATCATTATTAAAATATTTGGTTTACCAAAGTCCTGGGATGATTTTATGTTCCAGGGAAGATGAAAAAATATTATTGAGCATTTATCATGTGCTAGGACTGTTACCACTATTATTTTATTTATCCCGTTTGAATTAGGAATCATTAGTGTCATTGGGAATAATGAACTAAGACTTAAAGTTTGTGTTTTTCCAAGGCTACATAGCTAATAAACAGAGATGCAGAGAGAGGAACCAACAGGAATCAAGCAGATAGTAGCATATGGACTATATATGTGAGATGTGGGGGGTGTCAAAGAAAGGATAAATATCCCTGAAAGAAAGACATCATTGATTAGTTGCTATTTTTCCATCTACAAAAGTTTTCAGCAAAAGCAACCCCTGTCAATCTTCAGACAACAATTCTATTAAGGAAATTTAAAAGGTTAACTTATAGTTTGTTCACATTTATGAGTACACACATTTATGAGTACATACACTGTTTCTGTACACCCTTGATGGTTAAACATTTTTCAATGTCATTGCACTTTCAAAAATATT